TTGAAATTCATCGAAAGGAATGTTACAATACAATAATCGACATTTTTTAATAAAATTTGTCGAATTCGACAAATTTGGATTCCAATTTTGTGGAATCGACAAATTTGGATTCCAATTTTGTGGAATCGACAAATTTTTTTTCGACAAATTTTATCGACAAATTTGCGATCGACATTTTTTGTATTTGACAAATTTGATGTTTCCCATGATTTTATGGCTGATATGCTGCACTATTTAGCTTATCAATATATTACCCAAGCAGACAAGAATTTAGAAGAACGCGTTTAAACCCTATAATCGGGAACCGCGATTGTGACCCATTCACGCTCAAAAACAAAACGCCGTTTTTTGCGTTTTTTTTGCGTTTAATTTTCACTTTCAGAGCGTGAAAACGGTGAAAAAATTAAAAAATGAGCGTTAAAACGCATTGTTTTTAAATTTGAGAAAATTTTAGAAATAAAGGCACGTTTTAACACTAAAAACTGGAGTTTTTCGCCGTTTTCACGCTCTAAAAGTGAAAATTAAACGCAAAAAAACGCGAAAAACGGCGTTTTGTTTTTGAGCGTGAATGGGTCACAATCGCGGTTCCCGATTGTAGGGTCTAAGCGCGTTATTCCAAATTCTTGTCTGCTCGGGTAGTGACCTATCTTGAACTGTAAAGAAAAAATATTGAATATTTTTGTTCAAAGCAGTTTTAGATAAGATATCTTTCTCACTCAGAAGGTAAACTAACAATGAGCCTGCCTTTTCTAGTGATGTAATCTACACTTATTGAATAACTACATACTTTTCATTTATATATCCAATTACTTCGTTTAAAATAATTTCATATTTTTTAGTCATTATTTTATATTGCGTAATTAGAAGATTGTTCAAATTAATTAATTACGCAAAAATGGGACGTTTTCAATAATTATGTCAAACAATATTCTTTGTTCATGCAAGCAAGAATAACGAAGTAATTATCATTATCTGATGAGCAAACGTTGATTTTAATTATCATATGTGAAGTATATTTATTTATCTGATTTTCTGGTCATTCTAATATATGAATCTAATAGTTTCTTTTTGAATAATAGGAAAATGTTTTGATGGGTAATTGAAAAAATGATAGAAAATACGCACCTGTACCTCGAAATCGGAAGATTTTCATATAAATATATAAAGTATGACCCAACGTATTTGTATACAAAGACTTGT